GCAAGTGGCTGCAATAGCCAGAGCTGAGCTGATCCAAATCCAAGAGCTTTCTGAGTCTTCCACATGGTTGTAGGGTCCCAAGGATTTGAGCCACCTTCCTTTTCCAGGCCACAAGTAGAAAGCTGGATCGGAAGTGGAGCAGCTGAGATAGGAACTGGTGCCCATATAGGATCCCTATGATTTGCAAGGTGAAGATTTAGCCATCACACTAGGCTGTTTAAAAGTCTCTTTTCATTTATTTATTTTATTTGAAAGTTAGAGGTACAGAAAGACAGATAAAAGAGATTAGCTTGGCCACATGACCAGAAGTAGAGCTCCTGTAATGTGAATGGGGTGCCTATATGAGATTATGGTGCCTCAAACATAGACTTATCCCATTTTGCCACTGAGCCAGCTTTGTTTACAAGACTTTAAGTCCAGCTTTAACCTTGGATCCTCCTTCAGTTGACCCAAGGAAATAATGTAAAAGCTATAGACAAAAGGCAAGGTTCAGCTGTACATGAATAGTTGTGCATCACACAAAAAGCAAAGTTGGACTTTATCTGATTTAGCTTGTTAGTCTTTTTAATTGATTCATGTGTTTGAAAGGCAGCAAACAGAAAGAGGAGAAACATGGAGCAAGGAACAATTAGAGAAAATGAATGAATGAACCTTTTATCTGCTGACTCATTCTCAATGACCACAGCTGTGGGTGGGACAGTATGAAACAAGGAGCCAGTAGCTTGCTGTGGGTCTCCTACATGGGCCCAAACACGCAGGCCATTTTTCTCTGCGTTCCCAGGCACATTAGCAGGGAGCTTGATAATGTGGGGCAGCTGGAACTTAAATGAGTGCCCATGAGAGATGTGGGTGATGCAACAGCAGCCTTTGACCACCTTGTCACAGTGCTGCCCCCATCATTTTAATCTTGCAAAGGTAATGAATAACATTTGCCAAATAGAGGACATTGATTTCCTATGATTACATTAAGATTTCAGATGACTGAATAAGCCTCCCGTGATCATACTTAAAGCAGATACACACACAGTCTAAATCTTGGGATGACCTTTGTTTCAGGAGTGCCTAAATACTAGAATATTAACATCAGATCATGTTTTATAAAGAACGTGATAGTTCCTCATGTTTATTTCTCAATATGTATAGTTTGGGGAGTTTTTCCCCCTAGAATAGAAAACTCTTGATGTAAATAATGTTTTATGCGTGTCCTGTGTATTGTGCTTATACATTAATGTCAAAATAATTTTTCTTCCTAGCTGGAGAATCAAAGTCCTTGAACAAGAATTGGAAAGAACAATCGATTACTTTCAAATACAGGTGTGTGTGATGTGTGCATGCACATGTGTGTACCATTCATTATTACCAGGTGCAGGTGTGGGTGTCTGTGTGTGTGTGTACATGAATGCATGTACCATTCATTATTAACAGGTAGAGGGGTGTGTGTGTGTCTGTAACATTCAGTATTACCAGGTATACATATGTGTGTGCGTATGTGCATGTGTGTACCACTCTTTATTAGGTACAGGGGTCTGTGTCTGTGTGTGTGTGTGTGTGTGTGTGTGTGTGTGTGTGTGTGTGTGTGTGTGTGCATGCACACATGCATACAAGCACCATTCTTTATTACCAAGTACAGGTATGTGTTTGTGCACACGTGTATGCATGTACCACTCATTATAATCATGTTTAGGTATGTGTGTGTGTGTGTGTGTGTGTGTGTGTGCAAGCACATGCATAGATGTAGGTCCTAGCACCTGAGTGTTGAAATTGAATTGAAAGAGAAAATGAATTTCTCCATCAGTTGCACAGTTTTGTATGTGGCAAAGACGTTTCAACAGTTTCAGGATTTCAAAGAGCTTGACACAAGACTTCTTAGGTATCATGTGTCCTGCCTTGTTGTAAAAGTACATTAGATTTCACAAATGAAAATTATTGACCGAAGAACCTAAAGTGGAAGTTTATTAATTATATTTTAATTGTCTTCACATATTCCTATAATACGTGATGTGTACATGAAAATTTGCATCAATGTTGTTGTTAGTGATGTTAGTGATGTTTGAAATAGTTTTGACTTTTTGAGTTATTTCCTAAGCAAATGATAGGTACGTTTTTATATAAAAAAGTATACATTTAAAATATTCTGTTTTTCAGATTATTTATTTGAAGAAAAATGCAAATGTTACTTGGGTAAGTTTCAAATTCCCTTAAAGCTTTTTAACTTTTATAAATCAAGTTATGATTTTACTTCTAGAAGATAATACTGAGCAACTAAATTGAAGAAAATAAATTGCTATGTAAAAGAATCACTTTATTTTAATTGCACCAAAAGTGGAATTACCCTTCTTGTGAGAATGAACACATTGACCAATCCATACAGTCTGGTTTTAGCGCATTGCTATTTCGAAAGGAACCTATACTGTCCGCAAGGGTCAGAAGGATGTGATGTGCATATACAAATATCATGGTCACAGATTCACATTGTTGGGGCATTGGATTGCCCCTTGTTATTTATGAAGAAAAAAAGTTCTCTGAGTCATTTTAATCATTTGTAAACAAAAGGGTGGATAAAGTGCTAACGAAGCCCCTTCTACTTCTAAAATTCAGAGTTCTTTAAATATTTATTGAATTACTCACTACGTATTAAGAAGTGGGTGATTGTGAACACTGGTCTGTGCTGCAGAGAAACTGCATGAGGTTATGAGATGTCTTTTGGGGAGTCCCTGACACAGAGAGATGGAGGAGGCTACTTTTGAGCCTTTTGATGTTCTAGGCACTATACTTGAAAATACTGTGAAATAACATCCATTAAGTCTACTTAACAACTGTGAAGTAGATTTTATTATTACAGATTTTATAGATATGACAACAGCCCAAGGTCACGTTATTAGGAAGTGAAAAGTAGAGATTGCAATCCTGATCTTTCTGAGCCTAAGTCTTGTATATTTTCTATCACTTTACATTGATTTTATTATTTGGTGTGTGTGACTTTATGTTAAAAGACATAGAAAGTGTGGCATCTAGATCTCAATGAAGCAGTATTTGTCACATCCAATAGAAGTAGCATGTACTTCCTGAAAGTTCAGACCAGGGCAGTTGTCTGACCTAGCATTTTGGGTGCCAGTTAGAATGCCTCCATCACACACAGGGTATTTCGGTTGAACTGCTCTAACTGCATCCAGCTCCTTCAATTTCCTTACTTCCATCTTTGCCCTGGCCCAGTTCCAGCTAATGTTGGATTGGGGAAGTGAAGCAGAGTATAAGGAGTTTATTCCATCGATCTGCCTCCTCACGTAAATGAATATGGCAACCCAAATTCAGATGATGTACAAAGCATGCATTTACACACATTTTGAAAATATTTCTAAGATTTGTTTACTTTTTTGAATGATAGAGGGGGATGCAGAGACAGACATTGAACATTCTTCCATCGGCTGGTTAACTGTCCAAAATGGCCACAAAATGTGTCTAGATCTGATTGTATCCAGGATCTAGGAACTCCCCATGCAATCTCCTATGTGGTTGCAATGAGCCATCATTCCTTGCCTCTAGATCATGTTGGCAGGAAGCTCTGTATGAAACTTAGAGTAACTGTGACTTGAACCAAGCACTCTGATATGGGATGTTGTCTCTAGTCCTGTGGTGCCATGAAGATTACCAAAAGCTCATATGAGCATTTCACAAAAAGTGGAGTACATTATATCCTATTTTTGTAGCCTTATTTCTTAATGTGTTACAGGTTTATATTTGCCTTTCTAAAACCGTTTTCATTATTATTATTATCATTTTATGCTACAATTAAATAGGCCCTGGGATTTTCCTTACCCCTTCCCCAAGTTACCTTCCCTACTGGGTTCCCCTATATTATTACCATAATACATAATACATAAACAGCCATATGTCCATCATTGTGGGCATGGACCATGGCAAAGAGCCCAACTTTGTAGCCTTATTTCTTAATGTGTTACAGGTATTTTTTGAAACAAATATTTTATAATTTATTTTAAAAAGTCATGTTTAATTAGCCTGTTTGTTTTTTCATTCTTTCCCTTGTAATTTCAAATAATTTTGGTTCCACATATCAATAGTTCAATAGTTTATTTTAGTAATTATCTTTGGCATAATTTCTTAGTAAAAATTTGTTATATGTAGGAATAATATTCACACACAATTTTTTTATGATGGCAAGGTTTGCAAATAAGTGATTCATTTTGTAAATATTTATGTGGTTTACTCTTTGTCCAAGCTATTTCTACCATGCAGTTCAGTTTTTAATAAATATCAGAGTAATTACTTTTATTTTTTAAAAATGCAGACTAACTTCTTTTTATTTGTAATAAATTATAAATTAAGTGACTTTACCTATGTGATAAGCCTAGTGAATCATATGGTTTTCCCAGTCCAAAGTTTCACAAAATGATTGCAGATGATCTGGAGATCTCTCAGAATGAGGTTAACCTTTCCACATGAATAGTTGTGATTATTGCATGCTGTTGATATTCACTAGGTTGTGCAAGCTTTGTTCTCTGTAACATTTGATTTTATCTTTACCTCTTACTGAATAAAATGGGATATGATTTATGCAGCGCCATGAACTTACTGGAAGTGCAACATGCATTGATAATTTCATCTATTTTTTTTTAAATAGCATTTAGCCACATGCTGCTGAACTGTTTTAGTCCTTTATGGTTTCACAGAGTCATAGTGAATTTTCTGTAGAGATGATCGCCTTGAGGCAACTATGCAAAGCTGCCATGTGTAATGATTCTGAGTCTCTGTTGCAGTTGCCTGAGGCTTGCATCCTCCCACATTGCCCTTAGCCTCTTACTTGACTAATCAGTCCTGCATCTCACATCAGAGAGCAGCATTCATTGGCAAGTGCACAAGTCATCTCCAGTTTTAGGCCCATGTCATCTGCTTTCCTGAAATATTTCCTTTTTATCTGCATTTCATTAAAGTGGATGCATACATTGACAGTGATATTTGTATGCTCTAGGATGTTCATGCTCATTTTCATCTAACATTTGTCTGCATGTTTCTCCATCTTTTGTTATTTTTCAGTGGGCAGCTCGGTTTGCCGAGAGAGAACTCTATAACTTTAAGAAAGAAAATGTATATAAAAGCAAAAAGTAAGTTTCTTAGTGGTAACACTTAACAACTTTTAGCTCTTTTTTTGTTACTTTCTTAATTAGGTAATATTATAGGGATAAATAATGAAAATTCAGTGAATCCAGCATTTTTCACTATGAAGTATTTACTCATTTTGACCATTGTTTAAATGCTTAGGCCACTGACATATAATTTGAAAGAAACGTCACAGATTTTATGTATGCTTTTATGTTTTTCAGTATTTAATATGAACTGAACTAGTCATCTAATCTAGGATTACTAATTGAGAATCATGCTTAAATCTCCAGACTGAACAAGTATCTTTGCAGTGAAAAAGGCAAAAATTAAGAAGCTTCGGGAAAAACTTACAGTAATGACTGAAATGTATAAAGAAAATAAAATAAAATGTCACCAGTAACAAGGATTATATTCTTGCACTGGATGGCAAGAAAGCTAGACTTCAAAGCCTAAGCATATATTTCATGTTCAGTCTCTGTGATCATTGGATATTCACAATTCATGATTCATTTATAAAATATTATTTGTTCTTAAATACTTTCCTCAAGAAAGTGTTGAAAGTAATATTAGACATTCTAAGCTATTACACAAATCATGTATCATTATCATGTGACTCCTCAGTGTAAGATCACCTTAAATTAGATCATAATTGATGCTATCTGACTGGGTCAGGGGATTTAGTTCCATTCAATTTTGCGTGCATCCACCTCTAATATGTATAAAGCTGACACTTCTCCTTTGTGCTGATTGCTCCTGTTCAGGTATTCCGTGTCTTAAAGATTGATTTGTCTAGTTGATCAGGGTGACTTCTCAAGCTATACTTGACATCAGCGCTTTATGACATTTAAAATGCTAGAGAGGAACTTCTTATTAAAGAAGATTTATTTTGCCTAATGGGATGGAAATACACTGTCCAAAATTGAGTGGCCTCATGGGTTCTGGCTTGGTGAGGGTGGAGAACAGTATAGAGACCATTTATCATGGAGTGGGCCAGGAATCAGAGAGAGACTGGAGACATACTCTGCTTCTAAAACCTGCGCTCTCTAGAGATCTGTCTCCTCTTGGCAACTATTCCATGACCTACAACCTCTCTTTAGGTGCAGCTAGCTTCTAGATGATACGATTTGATCCTGCCTCCACCACCAATGAGCTATCATTAATCATTAGCCTTTCTTCTTTGAAAATAAGATTGATTGAATTCAGGGAGACAAATAATAACATTTTTACTCATTTTATAAATGTATTTCACCATTTTTATGGTCTCTGTCCTCTTTTTATGTGTTTATTTGGAGATTCCCAGAGCCGCCCTCCTTCCTCTCTCCTTATTCTCCCCCATTCCATTTTTTCCTATATTATAATAGTATTACTCTTTAGCAACAGTCGTGAGTGCATCGTTTGTTATTGAAGTGTATCATGGGATTGTAGCTATAACTATTGATATAGAATCTAGTATCAGACTGTCAAGGTGTACTTGACAGCCTTACTTGGAGTCCTCCTTTCAGTTGGGAGTAGAGACGCAAACCAAAACATATCTTACATTACTGGTGTGCTCTCCTCCATTGTAAAATTCATCTATGAGAATATATGTATATACTTTTTACCCATATTTCTATTTTTTTTGTATTTTGTTTGTGTGTTTCTCATCAGAGGAAACATATTATTTATTTTGGGGGTAGACTGGCCTATTGCACCTATCATAATATTTACAAATGGCAGATTGGTACAAATGGCTCAAGTTCATTGTTATAGTTGTTGTGCGATACTCCAAAAAGTAGAAGCACCACATTGTTTTTGTTTTGTATAACCAATTCCACTTTCAAAGGATATCTGGATTGTTTGCATTTCTTTGCTATCGTGGATTGTGCTGCTGTAAATATAGGTATGCAGGCCACTTTCTCATATTCAGATTTCAATTCATGTGGATATGTTCCCCGAAGTGGGATACTCAATCATGTGGCAGATCGGTTTCCACTTGGCAAAGCACTCTCCATACTGATTTCCATAGTGGCTGGACAAGGTACTCTTCCCACCAATGTGGAGCAGGTGTGCCTTTTCCCTCATTCTTATGAGAGGTGATATTAGTAGATTTCTGTGTGTATGACTTTCTCACTGGAGTGAGGTGGGACCTCAGTGTGGTTTGTATTTGCATTTCTCTGATGGCTATGGAGCCTGAGCGCTTTTTCATATGTCTGCCAGCCATTTGAATTTATCCTTTTGACAAATTCCTGCTCATGTCCTTCATCCATTTCTTAATGGAGTTGTTTGTTTGTTGTTTGAGTATCTGAAGCTCTCAGTAAATCTTGGATGTTATTCCACTATCTGTTGTATATCATGCAAAGAATCTTTTTTCTTTTTTTCTCATTTGCTTGATTTACAGACTATTTTTCTCCAAACTCCCCACTATTATTCTGGTGTAATCCATTACCATTTATACCTGAGTCATTCCAATAGCTTCATGAGATCTTCCTGTTTTCATTGTTGCCTTCAAAGAATCATTCCCTGGCTACCTAATTAAAACCTCATGTGAAACCCCTTTCCCTATTCTATCTTTTATATTTTTTCATAGCCCTTATCATTTTTGTTTGTTGTCCTTATTGTCCTGTGATTGTTTTTTAAAAGCATTTTCACATTTAAGGTAAACATCATGAGTGAATGTTGTTCTCCTGTTCGTGTCTAAAGCTATGCAAGCCTGAATACATGTGAGACTGAAATCAGAAACCCAGAGCTGCTTTCAGAGCTCCCAGTTGGGTGCAGGACCACATCTACCTAAGCACTCTTGTGCTACTTTCCAGGCTGCATTAGCAGGGAGCATTGTTGGAGACCTGGGAGCAGCCAGGTCTTAAACAAGCACCCATATGGAATGCTGGTGTCAGAGGCAGAGGCTTAACATACTATATACCACAGTGCCAGCCTCAGAAATTTCAAATATTCCTGTAGCTCATGTTTTTTATCATAAAGGGCAATAAAATACAATAATTTGATGCTTCATTAGTAAATTAATTAGTAAATTAATGAAGGGTATTCCTGGCTAATTTTTACTTTCTGTTTTTAAAAAAATTTCTGCTTGCTAACATTTGTAATATAACATCAGTGCTAACTAGTGATTTATTAAGCATACATTTCCAGCTGAGATTGAGCAAGGCAAAATAAATGTCAGTTCTCATTGTATAAGCAAGTGTCTAATACACAGTATGTACTGTGCCACATTTTGGTGATTGTTAGTTAATTAGCTACTTACTGTGATGCCCAAGCATAGTACTGAAATGTCTTGCACTGTCCTACGCGTAAGCAGGATACTATGATTTTTCTTTTTTAAAGAGAATGTATTTGTGTCAGATAAATTTTGTTTTGGCATTAATTACAGTGCTATTGACTCTGAGCCTAATGTTAATAAGTCAATCATACTATATTAAATGAATCAAAACTAAAGCAAACCTAGAATATAGTAAGTGTTGTTTGACTGATGAAAGTGTTTTGTTATAATCTAGCGGAAATGTTGCCTTGTGTTTTCCTTAGAAGTAATGATACACCATTTAACACTTCAGGATTTTTTCACTGATAAAATATTTTCTTAATTGCTTTTACGGTCTAAAGTTAGACACCAGGGAACACAGAATTACTGAGAGAAAGAGAAAGAAATTTATCGAAAGAGAGCAAGGAAAATGAACTAGCTGCTGGTTCATTCCGCAAAAGTCTGCAAGGCCACAGAGCTTCTCCCGGACAGAGATCTGTCTACTGTTTTCCTCCTAGGATAGCTGAAACAGTCAGGGCTGGGGCAGAGCACACAAGCTTCATCCTGGTCTCCCGTTTGGGTACTAGGCATCTCAGATATCAGGTACCTTCCTTGCAGAGCTGATTTAGTCATTAATATGAGTATCTGCAAGGTGTGTGAGCAGCTTATGTTAAAATCTCAGGGCTCTATAAGTACATACTATTGCAAGTAGTATGCACACTAATAGAAACAGGCAGTACCTATTATACTACTAGCAAAATTTACTTTGGTTACAGTATGATTTTGCTTCTTTCTGATTTGAACCAGAACCCAACTCAAGACTTAAAACTGATTTAAAATGATTTATTCATTTACTTATTTGAAAATCAGCATTAGAAAGAGGGAGAGGAACCTTGCATCTGCTGGTTGATACTGCACATACCTGCAGCAACCAGTGTTGCGCCTTGCTGAGGATCTGCATGTGGGATTCCCACATCATTAACCACCAATCTGAAATGACTTAAACATGGTTTGTTGTGGCTGACTCCTATGTATTAAATATAATGCTGCTTTATATAGGAGTCTGGGTAAATAGTATTTATATGAGCTATTTCATTTATTTTACCTTTTTAAATTGCATTTCATTTTATGACACAATTTCAAAGGCTCTGGGATTCCCCCAACACCCTCCCCCCAGGGTGGATTCCTCCACCTTGTTGCAGTAATAGAAAAATCCAGTCAAGATTCTTTCATTGCAAGCATGTACCATGCATATAGAGTCCAGCATCTTATTGTCCATATAAATTCAACAGTTTCTTGGGGGGAACATCTGTGGTCTAAAAGCAGAGCTGGCAGAATATCATCCCGATCAATTAAAGACACAACATAACATCAACAATAATTTACAACATTATGGAGTTAATTGACATGGTATTGAGTAACCAATATGTTAGAAGATGCAGGTTTTTAACCACATCCTGTGATTACTTCATTGACATTTCTATTTTAGTTTATACACAGCTGGCTGCTATACACCTTAAAATGGCTATAGGGTACTATTCAGCTGTCTCGTGTCTATTTTCATTTTAGTATTTAGCAGTTTATAGTGTTGAAGCATAATTTTTACTGAACTTGGCAGATTTTAGATAGTCTAAACTGGCTTATAACTAACAAGGCATATGTCAACAGTTGAGGTACAGAACAGTTTTAGGAGGGGTGTATAGAGAAATCTTCAATACCTTAGTGAGGAGTAACTTATCTTTGTGTCCTACCTAGTAAGGTATATGTGAGTCCTAGCTGACCTTTTCCTGTCTGGTTCTAAGCTTTCCTTGTTGTTCTCTAATCTAATTTTGGGGGGAAGTAGCTCCAGAGCGACCCTGATGATCATTGCAAGAGAGGATGGGGATCCAAAGCTGGAACTAAGTATGGAGCAGAGAAAGCTCCCTTCTTGAGGTTTGAAGGGCATTTACTATTCTTCTCTTTCTGCGGACTGCTCAGGGCTCCTGGCTATTGTTCCAATGACATTAGATCCTGTGAGGAAGGATCTGGGCATCTTCCATCCCATGTGGGAGATCTTGGCCTGTGAGGATGGAGTTATTGCCCTACGAAGGCAGTCCAATTCCCCGTGGTCTCTTTGGCAGTTGGGATATAGCTCTTGGTGCCTGTATTGATAGTCCTTGGTGAGGATCCAAGAGTCTCCAGGGTTGGTATACAAGCCTCCTCCTGTCTACCTGCTCCACTTTGGGCCCCCCGCCCGCTTTGAGCATTTTACCTCCTGTTAAGAGGTTGTCAGGATTACTCTTGATTCCTCCTGTATGTCTTTATGGTTTTGCTAATGTCTAATGCTGATTCGAGTCTGTTATGTATAAGTTATCTGTTATATTCATTTTTTTACCTTTTCAATCTTACTTCTGTGCCAAATTCATTCACAAAACTCTGGAGACCGTTGTGATAGCAGGATTATTTTAAGAGGTGTTGCTTTGAAATTTGAGTGTGTAATGTTAATTCTACATCAGAAATGCTTGCATATTAGTTTTTCATGTTGTGTTTGCAGTTGTAATTGTGGATATTTTTATGGGAGACTCCAGTTTTGATACAGTTAAAACACTATAAGTCTTTATGACATGCCTTGAATGTATTATAAATTTTCACTTTTGCTTTAAGGAACCTGCTGATCGAGGAACACTGCCACATAGAGGAAAAAACCATCTCAATTGTTGATGCAAATTTCAAATCTACAAGAGGAGTTGACTTATATTGGTATTAATGCTTTTTCTTTTGTGTCCTGGAGAATAGCCAGAAAAATATTTAAGCAGCCAAATATAAGTAGCATATTTTGCTACTTTTTAATTCCAAGTTCTTGCTATGAAATTCCATACAAAACCTTAAAAGGAAAAACAATACCCTTATGCATGTGATTTTTAATCTCATGTTTGAATATGGACCAGTCTTACCTATTACATCAAGGAATTTATGAATAGACACTTATTTCAAGGTTTTTACTCTTTAGTTCCAATGGAGAAGAATGTGTAGGACATGAAGGAATCCAGCAATTATGTTATAAAGGAATGTATGAGCCATACTTAGTATTATTTGTATAGTTTATAAGAGAGTAAGTTTAGCTTTTACCTTGGAGCTTTCCTTACTTGGCCAAGGGGATACTGGAAAGCCTAAAGACAAAGGGTAAGATTCAGCTGTATTTGCATACTTGGAGTACTTCATTATATGTCAGGAAGAGTAAGGTTGGGTTGGGTCTTATTTTAATGAAGGAAGTAGCTGATTTGTCTTCTTTTTGATTTATTCACTTGAAAGACAGAACAAAGATAGAACCTGGAGGTAGGGGTAGAGTAATACACACACAAGCACACAGAATGGGAGAGAATGACACTTCCATTTGCTGATGAACTCTCCAAATGGTCACAACACCCCAGGCTAGGTCAGTCTGAAACCAGGAGCCAAAAGCTTTCTTTGGAACTCCCCCGTTGATACAAGGGCATGAGCAGATAGCCAGTATCCTTTACTTTTTCAAGCACATTATCACAGTGCTGGATTGTATGTGTAGTAGTAGCTAGGATTATCAGGTATCCATATAGTTATCAGGTGATGTAGGTTGCCCTCGGTGCCACAGCATCAGTCCTATATGGGGAGTCTGATAAGATATGTAATTTTGTGAGGGAAATAATTCATTTCCTATAGCCACTTAAACATTATGAATATCTGGATGAATCTTCCATCATGTACTTACAATACTGTATGAAATATTGTTTTAGGAAAGTTTAATGAGTAGAATTTACATTAGATGAAGAAAAAATGAGAATTCTATTTGATATTTCTCAGCATGTGCAGTTTTTGTTATTTGTTCCAGGAAATAGAGTGTTCTTGATGTTGTAATGTATATTTTAAAGTAGAGTATATTATTTTATTACAGTGATTACATATGAATAATTGAAAATTTATATCTTCTAAACAGTAAAAAAGCCAAATATACTGAAGAAAGAGTGCAAAGAACCACTGTTTATTACCAAAGAAGGGTAAGTGTGTGTGTGTGTGTTTGTTCAGTGTGTGAGTGTGTTGTGCATGTTTAGGTGTGTGTGTACATATTTATTGGAACCTGTGTCTTTATGTAGAATGGAAAGGGAAAAGTGATTCCTTTACTAGTTTTATATCTTTCTTGAAGTGTTACATGTGGTATTCAGTCATTTCCATGTTTTCAGTGTTTCAAAGAATGTGGCAAATGGAATTACATTGCAGAAATAAAAATAGATTCTAAATCACCAGTTGGGTCTCATATTCAGCCAGGCTAGTTATCTGTTCATTGACAGTTCCTTTTGTGGCTGATTACTGACAAGGGAACATAAACTAAAAGTGTATGAATTACAAATTTTAGCTGCTTTTAGTGTACTTACACACAATTGATGATGTGTCCATGAAATTTTGCATAAAGTTGTCTTTACTGACACAAAATGTGTGTGGAATATTTCTTAGCTTGTGAGTTACTTCCTATGTGAAAGACAGGATGTTCTTTTTGTTTAAGAAAACTAATTTTCAAGCATTCTGTTTTTCAGGTTATTCATTATAAGAAAAAAGCCCACCAAAATTGGGTAAGTTTCAAATTGCCTTAAAGTTTTTTCTATTTCTTAAAATAAATTCTGCTTTTCCTTCAGGAAGATAATGCTGGGGATTTAAATTTATGAAAAAGATAGTATATAAAAACCAATAGTGGTATTACATTCCATTTGGAGAAATAATACATTATCAAATGGTGGTTATTTCCCACAGACTTCTTTTAGCATTTTTCTTCCTCAAAAGTAGCCTAGAAGAGTGTAAGAGGGTTAGAGAAACTTGGTGCATATGCTCATGTCTATGTATTTACATTTTGGGACATTGGATTGCCCCTTGTTATCTAGAGGAGCCAGAAAGGTCTCTGGATCATTTTACTCAATTATCAAACAAATTGGATTGGAAAAAGAGCTAGCTAAAGCCCTTTCTAGTTCTAAAATTGAGGGTTCTATTAAGTGATTCTCAGTGTTGGTAGGAATTAAGGAAAGGGTCATCCGGGGAACTAGTTGTCTGCTGCAGAGGAACTGCATGATGAGGAAGTGAAGTAGCTGTAAGTTTGAGCAGTTGGAAGGAAGAGCAGAGATGGAGCTGTTGGCAGTAGCTGTCCACTGGGAGTGCCTGTCACAGGGAGGTGGAGACAGCATTCAGGGATGTTTGTCAAGTGCTTGACACTGACAAACATGAAATCAATGTTAACTGGTGTTACCATTGCTATTATAGTGAAGACAGTGAAGACTTGTAGATGTTAGGGCAGTCTGAGAGGAGCATAGAATGAGAGAGTGGTATATTGAATGTCAGGTCCCTCCCCTTTCTGACATTCTGTTTGTTTTGGTTTCAAGAGTTCAAGTGAAGATTCATTAGTGAATTAGCTAGGATCATTATAGATTCAGTTTTCTTCACCATTTCTCCCCACTTTCTAAATACTTATGCATATTATTTTCAAAATTTATTCATTTTATATGAAAAGACAGATTTACAGAGAACAGGGATACAGAGAGAAAGATCTTCCATCAGCTGGTTGACTCCCGGTGGTCGCAATGGCTGGAGCTGAGCCAATATGAAGCCAGTTGCCAGGAGCTTGTTTTGAATCTTCCATGAGAGTGTGTGGTTTCCCAAGGCTTTGTGCCATACATTACTGGTTTCCCCAGGCCACAAACAGGGAGCTGGATGGGAAGTGGAGCAGTTGAAACATGATCTGGTACCCATATGAAATCCTGACGCATGCAAGGCAAGAATTTATTTTTTTAACTATGAGGATGATGTGTATTAAATTCTTGCTATTTTAGGCAAGACACTTAAAAGTAGCTTGCTCATGTTCCTTACTAAACCCATTTAATAAGTATAAATTGGATTATACCATTTCAGATTTTATGATGAGAAACAGCCCAAGATCACATAATTAGATAGTGCCTGACACCCATGTGGGAGATCCAGATTGAATCCTGGGTTTTTCTTTAGTCTGGCCTGTATCTGGCTGTGTGGCCAATGAGAAGAGAACTGGTGTTGGAAAAAAAAATGTCTCATTACTATTCAAATAAAAGAATAAGAAAGGTCTTGTGAATATTGCATGCTATTGATATTCACTAGGTTTTGCAAGCTTTGTTCTCTGTGACATTTGATTTTATCTTTACCTCTTACTGAATAAAATGGGATATGATTTATGCAGCGCCATGAACTTACAGCAAGTGCAACATGCATTGATAATTTCATCTATTTTTTTAAAAAATAGCATTTAGCCACATGCTGCTGAACTGTTTTAGTCCTTTATGGTTTCACAGAGTCATAGTGAATTTTCTGTAGAGATGATCGCCTTGAGGCAACTATGCAAAGCTGCCATATGTAATGATTCTGAGTCTCTGTTGGCAGTTGCTTGAGGCTAGCATCCTCCCACATTGCCCTTAGCCTCTTACTTGATTAATCAAACAGTCCTCCATCTCACATCAGAGAGCAGCATTCATTGGCAAGTGCACAAGTCATCTCCAGTTTTAGGCCCATGTCATCTGCTTACCTGAAATATTTCCTTTTCTAAAAGATCCTTCAATTCAAAATGTTTTATCTGCATTTCGTTGAAGTGGATGCATACATTGACAGTGATATTTGTATGCTCTAGGATGTTCATGCTCATTTTCATCTAACATTTTCATGTCTCTCCATCTTTTGTTATTTTTCAGTGGGCAGCTAGGTTTGCCGAGAGAGAACTCCATAACTTTAAGAAAGAAAATGTATATAAAAGCAAAAAGTAAGTTTCTTAGTGGTAACACTTAACAACTTTTAGCTCTTTTTTTGGTTACTTTCTTAATTAGGTAATATTATAGGGATAAATAATGAAATTTCAGTGAATCCAGCATTTTTCACTGTGAAGTATTTTACTCGTTTTGACCATTGTTTTAAATACTTAGGTCACCTGAGTGTTTAATTTTCTTTCATAATGCTTTTTGCATTATATAATTGGTTCCACTTCCCTTTTTCCTATGCAAGTTGCTACTGCCCAGTTATTCCTGGTCTTCATGAAAAAATGTCATTTGCCTTATTGTCAAGTTGACTGCTAAAGCCATGCTTTTCTTCTGTTACATGTATTAGTAAGATTTTTGTGATGTTATAACACTTGAGAGGAACTTCTTAGGAACGTAGATTTATTTTGCCTCACAGGAGACACATCATCAAAAACTGTGTGATAAGATCTGTTGTGGCACCTGTACAGTAGAGTAGCCATTCATTACACAGCCAAGTAGTCTCTTACTCCATCACTATACATTCCCTTAAGCCACAAATAAGTTTGATAACAGATATGATGTTAAAGCAAAGACAAAACTAAACAAAAATACAGTACCATAGAGTTGAACAAATATGCCATTGAATAGCCAATTCATAGGTGATGAAAAGAAAACACAGAAGTCTACTTTTCATGATGGTTTCCTTATACTAGAGAGAACATATGGCATTTATCCTTTTGGGTTTGACTTATTTTACTGAAGAGGATGGTCTCTAGTTCTGACCATCTAGTTGCAAATGATATGATTTCCTTCTTTTTATTGGCTGAGTAGTACTCCATAAAATAGAGGTACCACTCTTTATTTAACCACTCCTCTTTGCACTTGCATCCAGATTGTTTCCATGTATTTTCTAGTGTATATTGTGTTGCTGTGAATATAGGATTATAGCTGCCTGTCATATATGCAGTATTCATTTCCTTTGGGTATATTCCTAGTAGTGGGATACCTGGTTCCTGAGGCAGGTTCATTTGCAATTCTCTAAGTACTATCTGTGCTGATTTCCACAATTGCCGTACTAGCCTGTACTCCCACCAGCCGTGAAGGAGGATATTTTTCTTCCCGCTCCCCTGCAAGCAGGTGTTGTTAGTTGAGTTCTGAATGTAGGCCAATCTGAATGAAGGTAGATGGTACCTCAGCATGGTTTTAATGTGTATCTCCCTGACTGCTAGGGAGCCTTAGTATCTTTTAATATGTCTGTTAGCCATTGGATCTCTTCTTTTGTAAAAAAAACCACTGTTTATATCCTTTGCCCATTTTTCACAGGGTTGCTTTATTTATTTATTTATTTTCTGTCCCTGGGTTTCTGAAGCTCTTTGTAAATCCTGGACATTAGTCCCCTATCACCTGTGTAATTTGCAAAAATTTTCTCCTATTCTGTTAATTGCCTCTTCATTTTGTTAATCATTTCCTTTTCTGTATGGAAGATTTTTAGTCCCATTTATTTATTTTGTCTTTGACTACCTATGATTTTGGGGTCTTTTCTAAGAAGTCTGGTTCCATTCCTATTCCTAGGAGAGAGCTCCCTCTATTTTTCTTTAATACTTTGATGGTTTCTGGGTGTAGATTTAGGTCCTTGAACCATTTAGAGCTGATTTTTTGTACAATGTGGCAAGTGCAGGTCTTGTTTCTTGATTCTGCAGGCTGCTATCCAGTTGTCCCAACAGCATTTGTTGAATTGCCAAGAATTTTTTTTCCTGGATTATTTTCTGTTTTCTTGTCAAAAAGTAGTTGGTAATTCATGTGTGGGTTCCCTTCTGATGTTTCTACTTATTCCATTGATGTTCTCCTCTGTTTCTGTACCAGTACCAGACTGTGTTGATGACCATTGCACTGTAGTATGTCTTGAGGTCTGGAACTGTGATTCCCTCTGCTTGATTTTTATTCTTCAGGATAGCTTTGGGTATTCGTGGTCTCTTGTGTTTCCAGACAATTTTTGTATCTTCTATTTCTGAAAGAATGCTGTTGGCATTTTGATTGGGATTGCATTGAATCTATATATTACTTTTGGTAATATGGACATTTTGATGATGTTGATCCTGCCAATCCAGGAATATGGTAAATTTCTCCACTTTTCAATGTCTTCTTCTGTTTCCCTTTTAAATGTTTTATACTTTTCATCATAGAGGTCTTCCACATATTTGATTAGCTTAATACCTCGATATTTAAGATTCCTCTCTGCTTTAGGGACTGTATTTACAATTTCCTTCTCAGGCATGGAATTATTTGTGTACACTAGTGCCATTGATTTATGTTCATTAATTTGTATCCTGCTACCCTGCCAAAGTCTCTTATGAGATCCAGTAGTGTCCTGACTGAGTTTTTTGATTCTCCTATGTAGAGGATCATTTCATCTGCAAATAGATACTTTCAGTTCCTCATTTCCAATTTGAATTCCTTTGATTTCGTTTTCTTGCCTAATAGCTTTGTTACGGACATCCAATAATATATTGGATAATAATGGTGACAACGGACATCCCTGTCTAGTTCCAGATTTTAGTGGAAAGACTTCCAGTTTTTCTCTATTTAGTATGATGCTGGCATTGGCTTTGATTGTGCTGTAGAATGTTCCTTCTATACTGATCTTGCTTAGGGTTTTCATCCTATAGTGGTGGTAGTGGATCTTATCAAATGCTTTCTCTGCATCTATTGAGATGATCATAGTTTTTTTCAATTTGTTGACATGATGTATCACATTTATTGATTTATGAATATTGAACCTTTCCTGCATGCTTGGGCTGAATCCCACCTGGTCCGGGTGAATGATCTGCCTGATGTACTGTTGGATCCTGTTGGCTAGTATTTTGTTGAGGATCTTTGCATCTTTGTTCATCAAGGATATTGGTCTACAGTTCACTTTTTCTGTTGTTTTTCCATCTGGCTTTGGTATTAAGGTGATATTAGATTCATAGAGTTTGGAAGGATTGCCTCCATTTCTGTTGTTTGGAAAAACTTGTGGAGAATTGGAGTAAATCCTCTTGAATAGTTCCTCTTGAAAAGGTTTTTAGAACTCAGCAGTGAAACCATCTGGTCCAGGACTTTTCTTGGTTAGAAGGGTTTTAATTTTGAATTCAATTTCAGTCCAATGTATAAGTCTATTTAGGTTGTGAATTGCTTCTTGATTTAGTTTTGTGGCTGTATGTGTCCAAAAATCTGTCCATCTTTACTGCGTCTTCTGATTTGTTTGCATATAATTGCTTGTAATAGTTCCTAATATTTTCCTGTGTGTCTGAGCTATGTATTGTTATATTTTTCTCATCTCTGATGCTATAGATGCTTATCTTCTCATTCCATTTTTAATTAGTTGGGCTAGTGGGGAGTCTATTTTGTTGATTTTCTAAAAGAACCAGCTCTTTAATTTATTGTTCTCATATATAGATCTTTCAGTCTCTCTTTAGCTAATTTCATTTCTTATTTTGATTATTTCATTTTTCCTACTTATTTTGGAATTCTTTGCTGTTGTTGTTTGGATCCTTCAATTGTAGGGTTAACTCATTTATTTGGTTCCTTTCCAGTTTCTTAACATAAGCATTGATTGAGATGAACTTTCCTCTTAACACTGTCTTGATTGTATCCCAAAAGTTTTGGTTTGTTGTGTTGATGCCTTCATTTGTTTCAAGCATTTTTTAAAACTTCCCTTTGTTTTCTTCTCTAATCCATCAATCATTTAGTAACATATTATTCAGTCTCCATGTGTTTGCAAGTCTTCTTGGGTGTTTTGACTTTTGGTCTCTATCTTCACTCCATGATGGTCTGAGAAGATGCATGGTATGATTTCAATTTTTTTTTTAATTCATTGAGGCTTGTTTTGTGGCCTGTAACATGGTCAGTTCTGGAGAAGGTCCCATGTACTGATGAAAAAAAAAAGTGCATTCTCTGTAGGATGAAAGTTTTGGTAGATATCAAGTAAACCCATTTGTTCTAGAGTTTGGGTGATTCTGTTGTTTCTTTGCTCAGTTTCAGTCATGTCGAATTGTCCAGTGATGCTAATGGGGTACTAAGGTCCTCCACTATGAATGTATCGGAGTCTATCTCTCCCTTTAAATCCATCAATATTTGTTTCACATAGCCAGATGCCTTACCATTTGGTGCATGTACATTTATTATATTGATCTCTTCTTGCTGAATGGATCCTTTGATCATTATGTAGTGTCCATCTTCATCTCTTTTAATGCTTTTCACATAAAAGTCTATATCATCTGAAGTAAGAATAGCTTCACCCACATGTTTTTCTTTACCATTTGCTTGGAATATCTTTTCCATCCTTTCACTTTCAGTTTCCTCTGATCTTTGTTGGTGAGATGTGTCTCCTGCAAGCAACAGATAGATGGAGTTTGTCTTTTGATCTAGTCCTCTGATTTATAATGTTTGATTGATAAGTTTAAGCCATTTACATTCAGTGTTAATATGGATAGGTTGCAGTTTGGGGTCATTTTAGCAATGGGTTGTTCTTTGATTTAGTCTTCTGCTAGTCTTTTAGTGGGATGTTCTCCACATTTGCCTTTGGTTTTGGTAGTTGCTATTCCTTTTTGCTTTCACGAGAACATCTTTCATATCATTTGCAAGGCAAGTCTAGAAAGCAGTTTCTTGGATTTATCTTTGCTGTGGAATAATTTTGTTTCATTTTCAAAGACAAAGGAGAGATTTTCAGGATACGGTACTCTGGGCTGAAAATGTTTCCCTTTTTGAATCTGGAATAAGTCACTCAATTCTCTTCTGGCATTTAGTGTTTCCTCTGAGAGGTCAACTGTGAGTCTGGGGTTCCTCTATAGATCATTCAATTTTTTTTTACGTGCACATTTAAGGATCTTATGTCCAACTGAAGAGAGCTTGGTTACATGTGTCGTGGTGAGGTTCGCTTTTGATCAACTCTGTTGGGAGTTTTATGACCCTCCTGTATATTGTTTCCCAATTCTTTTCCAGCTTTGGGAACTTCTCATTTATTATTTCTTTGAATACATCTTTAATCCCAGCTTCTCTTTCTGCACCTTCTGGAACTTCCATAACTCTTAGGTTGGGTCTTTTAGCCGTATCTTTTAATTCTTGGATACTTTATTTTTTTTATTTTTTTTTCTTTTAGTTTGACCTTGCTCTGCTTCCAGCTTTTTGATTGTTTCCTCCTGTTGACAGGAAATATCTTCCAATTCTGAAGTTCTTTCTTCTGCTTCATTCTACTTTTTGAGAGTCTTCATTGTACTTTTAATTTGCTCCACTGTGTACTTAATTTCTGATATATCTGCTTTCATTTGATTCATTGCTATTATTTACTTTCTAACATATTCCTTAAATTCCTTGTGCTTCTCATTGTTTAGAAAGTTTATAATGGGGCCTGGGGGCGTGGCCTAGCAGCTAACATCCTCGCCTTGAACACACTGGATCCCATATGAGCGCCGGTTCTAATCCTGGCAGTTCCACTTCCCATCCAGCTCCCTGCTTGTGGCCTGGGAAAGCAGTGGAGGATGGCCCAGAGCTTTGGGACCCTGCACCAGTGTGGGATACCCGGAAGAAGTTCCTGGTTCCCGGCTTTGGATCAGCACAGTACCACTGTTGTGGTCACTTGGGGAGTGAATCATTGGACGGAAGATCTTCCTCTCTGTCTCTCCTCCTCCTCTCTGTTTATCTGACTTTGTAATAAAAATAAATAAATCTTTAAAACAAAAAGAAATTTTGTAATGAGTTCTCTGAATTCTATGTTCCCATTTTTTAAAGGGCCTTCCTCAGTTAACTCTGAGGGTGGTCAAGGCTTTTCCTCCTTTGCTGGAGAGTCTTCAGTAACAATCATAGTGCCTCTGTGTCTTCTTTTACCTCTTGACATTGCAATTCTGGTTGGCAGATTCATCTCCTTAGTGCAGATTTCTAAGATGTATTACTTGGCTGCCACAAGAGTCAAGCCATGGCTGCCACTGGGGTCTGTACTGTTCACCAGCCACTGGTAGGGATTGCTGTTCACTGCAACACTGCTCCAGCATTGCTGCCACTTCCCTTTGTCCTGAGGGTCTCCAGGTACCCCATGTGAACTGCCTGACCCCCTCCCTCCCTTTTTTTCCCCTGTAATCTGTTTCTGTGGTTCTCTGTCAAACAACACTTATTTTTCTGTCAGCTGTTTAGGTGGTCAGGATGTTTGTTGGCTGCTGCCACCTTGTGGGTGACAGGTGCTTTCACTCTCCTGGGTACTCACCTTTCCTGCTGTGGGGCAGATATGGGGCTCCTATAGATTAGATAGTTCTGACAGTGGAGTGGCTATTCAGAGTGTTCTAGCTGGCGAGGGTCCCCCACCGCCTTGTGCTTTTGTGGCCTCTGCCTGCCAAACTGGTGCCTTGAGTGGGAGTGGTCCAGCTCCTGCCACACAGTGTGTAATCAGCAGCTAGCCTTTCTACGCTCCGAAGGCACTGTGTCTTCTCTCAATTGTGATGGGCAAGTGATAGCAGGCTTTGTGCTTTTGTTCTCAAACACCCACTGCTACCAGCCAGGCAGTTGACTTTGTTACAGCACCACACGTGTTTACTCCTGGGGTCTGCCCTCCCATCTCTGGGTTGCCAAGAGAAGCCTTAGTCTCTGAGAGAGAACTTTATTCCCTAGGAGCCTCAAGTCTCTGTTTTGGGTGATTAGGTCCAAGAGAGCTTTCAGGTGGGGATAGGCTCAGATTCCACCACATGAGCCTTTGAAAAGTGACTCACCAGTTCCTCTGTTTATTTTTTTTTCTTTGTCTGCGACAGTGTTTACTCTAGATGGTGCCTGCTTCCACCAGTTCAAGTTGCCATTTGGTGTGTTGGGAGTTTTGTTTTTGTTTTTGTTTTTGCAATTCTCGATGTCTGCTTGTCCCCTGCCTTGATCATGCCAGCTCCGGGGAGTTTCAGATGCCTTTTCCAGCAATTCTGCTCTTGCTGTTCTCTACGCTTCCAATTTTTGTCTGTATTTCTGCATGCACTTAGCAACGTCGGCTACCTTCCTAGACTCCGGTCATTAACTTTCAATTTTCAGGTATAATTTCATGAAATCAGCGACACAAATCACAGCATTTTTTATTCATTCTGTAATTAAATTTTGGAAGCTTTCTTATACTCATTTTTCTCTTTTTTTTCTCTGTGTGTGTTTATTTTTATGAACTTTCTTGACACAGATTTCCTGTTCCACCTGTGCTTCCTTGCTCCGTGTCTTCCTCCCATCAATTTCCCTCATATTTTTACAGTAGTACTGTCCTTCGGCAACAATTGCTAGTCAACATTCTGCTTTTTAATATAGACATCTGTATCTATTCTCCAGATAAGTTTATTGACTAAGTTCTCCTTTTGTTTGAGAGAGAGATAGAGTGACCTTGTATCTGCTGGTTGATTCTTCAGATAGCTACAACAGCCATGGCTGTGCCTGGCTGAGGAGCTACATGTGGGATTCCCACATCATTAACCACCAATCTAAAATGTCTGGAACACAGTTTATTGTGGCTGACTCCAGTGTAACAAATATAATGCTGCTTTATATAGGAGTCTGGATAAATATTATATGTATGTATATGTAAGATTATTTTAAGAGGTGTTGCTTTGAAATTTGAGTGTGTAATGTTAATTCTATATCAGAAATGCTTCCATATTAGTTTTCATGTTGTACTTGCAGTGATAATTATGGATATTTTATGGGAGGCTCCAGTTTTGGTACAGTTAAACACATAGAAGTCTATTCTTTATGACATGCCTTGAATGTATTATAAATTTTCACTTTTGCTAAGGTACCTGAGGGTCGAGGAAAACTGCCAGCTAGATCAAAAGGCTGATGTGTCACCTGTGGATGAAGATCGTAACTATAGAAGAAAAGAAATCTTGATCTATAGGTATTCAATGCCTTTTCTCTTGTGGATGAAGCATATCTAAAGCTCATTTCTAGAAAATAATGGTAAAGCATCTAGAAAGAAGTGGGGCACTTTTGTCAGTTCAAGTTTCTTTGTATTAAATCTAGTTTTTGCCTTGGATAGTTTTGTTACTTCTTTTTATATTAGGTAGGTTAACATTACTTTTTACCAAAAAATTTTTGGAATCATTTATTTACTTGAAATGCAGAATTAGAGTGTGAGAAAAAGGCGAAATGATAACAGAGAATAAGAGAGACAGTGAAGCTTCCATCTGCTGGTTCACTCTCTAAATGGCCGTAAGAGTCTTGGCTGAGCCAACATGAATTCTGGAGCCAGTACCTTTCACTTGTTCTCCTTCATGGGTACAAGGGTGCCAAGCATCAGGCTATCATCCTCCACATTCCCAGGAACATTGTCTGGGTGTTGGATTTTATGTGAAGCAGCTGGACTATAGAACAGTTGCCAATATGGGATTACTGTGATACAGGCAGTAGGTACAGCTCATGGTTCTGCTCCATTTTACTAGTATTTGTAAGGTGACCAGAACTTTATGGGGATTTCATTACTATCCTATGATTATGTTAAGATTATAGATATCTATATACGGGTAAATCTGTGAGCATCATTCATGTTAAAACAGACATACACTATACTGCACATAGTAGAAATCTTGAGCTTTGTTTTGGGCTAGCATAAATAATAGAATTAATGTTAGTATTTTTTAAATGGGCATAAAGACTTATAATTTTGATTACATATAAATATTGGAGTAATTATTTGTTCTTCATAGAAATAGAATCAATGATCTTGAAAAAGAACTTCAAAGAACATTTCGTTATTACCAGGAAGAGGTAAGTGTGTGCGTATGTGTGTGTACACGTGTTTACTTGTTCCTGTGAATTTATGTTGTATGGAAAGGGAAAAGTGATTCCTTTGCTAGTTTTACATCTTTCTTCAGGTGTTACATGCTGTTTTCAGACACTTCCATATTTCAGTGATTCAAAGAATATGAGATATGAAATTTTAAGAGTCATCATGTCTCCTGTTTCTTTGGAAAAGCAGAATTACATTGCAGACATAAAAATAGATTTTAAATCATTGGTAAGGTGTCATATTCAGCCAGGTCTGTTATCTGCTAATTGATAGTTCCTGTTGTGGCTGATTAGTGACCAGTGAGAATAAAGTAGATATTTATCATATAAATTTTAGCTGTGTTTAAGTGTACTTACACAATAGATGATGTATACATAGAAAGTTGCATAAAATTGTGTTTACTGACACAAAGTGTGCTTGGAGTGTTTCTTAACATGTGAGTTACTTCCTATGTTATCAATAGATGTGCTTTTTATTTAAGAAAATAACGTTTCAATGATATTGTTTTAGATTGCTTCTGTTCAGAAAGAAACCCACAGTAATTGGGTAAGTTTCATTGCCCTTTTTAATCTTTTCTTTAAATTGTGTATTTCATTCAGAGAGTTAACACTGGGGAGTTAAGTTTATGAAAGGTAGTGTGTAAAAGATTTGGCCAATTTTATTTGCATCAATAATGGAATTATGTTTATTGTGAGCTTTAAATTCTAAGTTGTATCATGATTGTTCCCACAGTCTTCTTTTAGCATTTTTCTTCTTCACAAATAGCCTAGAAGAGGATAAGAGGGTTAGAAGAATTTGGTGCATATGCTCATGTCTATGTATTTACATTTTGGGACATTGGATTGCCCCTTGTTATCTAGAGGAGCCAGAAAGGTCTCTGGACCATTTTACTCAATTGTCAAACAAATTGGATTGGAAAAAGAGCTAGCTAAAGCCCTTTCTAGTTCTAAAATTGAGGGTTCTATTAAGTGATTCTCAGTGTTGGTACAAATTAAGGAAAGGGTCATCTGGGGAACTAGTTGTCTGTGCTGCAGAGGAACTGCATGATGAGGAAGTGAAGTGGCTGTAAGTTTGAGCAGTTAGAAGGAAGAGCAGAGATGGAGCTGTTGACAGTAGCTGTCCACTGGGAGTGCCTGTCACAGGGAGGTGGAGACAGCATTCAGGGATGTTTGTCAAGTGCTTGACACTGACAAGCATGAAGTCAGTGTTAACTGGTGTTACCATTGCTATTATAGTGAAGACTTGTAGATGTTAGGCCAGTCTGAGAGGAGCATAGAATGAGAGAGTGGTATATTGAATGTCAGGTCCCTCCCCTTTCTGACATTCTGTTTGTTTTGGTTTCAAGAGTTCAAGTGAAGATTCATTAGTGAATTAGCTAGGATCATTATAGATTCAGTTTTCTTCACCATTTCTCACCACTTTCTAAATACTTATACATGTTAATTTTTAAAGATGAAGAAGCTTTTTTTTTAAATTCTTGTTATGCTAGGCAAAGTACTTGAAAGTATTTTGAATATATAGGTATGAAATCCATTTAATAATTGTAATTGGATTTTAGCATTACAGATTTTATAGATGAGAAAACAACCCAAGGACACATGATCATTTAGATTCTCGTCTTTTACGGTTTCTGTTAGTTTGCACTGAATATTTGTTTAGTACGTGTGACTTTGTGTTCAAATATATAGAAAGTGTGTTCCCTAATTGTGGCCTAGAAAAGCAGTGGAGGTTGTCCCAGTGCCTTGGGACTCTGCACCCACATAGAGGACTGTGAGGAAGCTCCTAGCTGCTAGCTTCAGATCAGCTCAGCTCTGGTCATTGTACCTCTTAGGAAGCAAAACCATGGATAGAAGATCTTTTGTTCTCTGTTCATTTCTGTCAATCTGCCTTTCCTAGAACATTAAATAAAACTTTGGAAGTATCTACACATTTGATGAAGCTTGCTTTGTTTCCTCTTTTTTACCTGTATAATTTCAACTGTTACTTTCTTCATTGACCACTTCTTTGTTCCATCCTTTTGGATTAACTTTATTTCCTTTAAACTTGCATAGTCTCTTTCATGTTCTGCGGTGAATACACTGTTCTTTACTGAGGTCATTTAAAATGTATTATTCACATACATAAAGTTAAGAAGTGTCATATATTTCACATGCATGATTTTTAAAATATGCTTTCTACATTATTCTTGTCCCCTCTCTCCTTCCTACTTTGTTATTTTTGTTTTAGTTTTTAAAATTATATGCTTTTCATTTTCTTTACAATCATACTCTTTACCTTTCCTTCATTAATTGAATAATTCAACCTATAATAATTAGAAAATTAATGTTCTTCAGAAATGACCACAGCCATAAATGATAGTGAAATAATGAAATATTTAATATATTTGTTGCACTATGTATGTTTTTATGCAAAATTAGGGAAAGAATAGATGTCTTTTGGCAACTGACATAACAAGTAAGCGTAATGGTCACCAATTCCATAATATTGTTGTGAAAGACAAAGTTTACTTTAATGTGTGAATACTGTTCCATTATACATGCGTGTGAAATGAGTATAAAGACTTGAGAAATAATTAGGTGGAGAAAGATAAGGAGAAAGAAGTGGAAAAAGAACGAGGCAGGGACAGAGAAATGGCTTGCAAAAGTGAAGTCATTATTTGGTTTAGTTCTCTGAAAGCTAATCTACTTGTGCAATTTTCTGAGACTACTGAAGCTCAGTTTGGAACTCAGTCCATGTCTTTCATGCAGGTGGCAAGGGATCCAGATGCTTAATCCATTGCTACTAGTTTCCAGTGTTTGCTTGTTCAAGAAGCCAGAACCAGGAGATGGGCCCATAAACTGAACCCAAGTTCTCTAAAGTGGGACATGGCTGTCTTTACTGGCAGCTTGCCTTCAATGCGTAACAACAGCCCTTACTGTGATTATTCTCTGTGTCTTTACCCTGAGAGAGTTTCAAGTTCCATTAGTGAGCGAATGTCACTGTTTCCTTAGCAGACCTCTTAGAAGGCTTTGTAGATGTGAGTGCTCAGTGTTTGATATAGTCATTGGCTGAAATTTGTCTTAACCTTTGAGAATAAGCTGTAGACTCAGAAGTAGGTGGGCAGTTCATGTGGCAGTAAAGATGCTGCTTAGGATACCTGGTCCTCAGTTGGGCTGCCTGGCTGTGTGCCAGATGAGGAGTCAACAGGTGTTTGGAAAAAGTCTTCCATTGCCATTCAGATAAAAGAATAAGAGAAGTCTTAACTATTGGCTGTGACTTTGTATTTATTTATTTTTGGCTAGTGTCTTGCCTATACAGTTTTCTGCCTTATAATTATCACGTAGATATGTTACAGTATTATACAAAACATTCAGAAACGATTTTGTTTCCACATTATTATTCGTTCAAAAACTGGGTGATTTTAATAACAGGATCATTGTGACATAGTTTTTCAGAAAAAATTATGACATTTTGTCTTGGAAAGGTTTTTATATGTAGTCTTTTTGGATGGAAAGTACTACAAATAATTTGAATATTTGATCTATTCTTTGGCTGAGTTGCTTTCAACAACTTGATGAATCATAAGTTAACAAATTTCATGTGTGTGCTTATATGCATAAAAATTTGAACTGTGTGATTTTCAGTTGTATATTACAAAAGTATGTATGAAGTGATTTTATCGACCTTTATATGATGAACTGGTGGGTTTTGATAGTTTGGTTAGTCAAATTTTCTAAGTAACTACTGCATCTAACCTCTGTATTCCTCAGAATACATTTAACATTTCCATGTTAATTTTTTCGTGGTTATTGAATATGGCTGAAAGTTACCATATTTTATAATTTGTTTTGCCAGTAACATACTGAATTTTATCTTTTGTGAAATAAATGGGTGAATATTTACACTATAGTGAGTTTTTTTCTAAAAATGATACCCTTGAGGCAAATAAGCAAAGCTGCCATTGATAATGACTCTAAGTCTCTATTTCCATTGCCATAGCTCATGGAATATTTCTTGATTAATCAAACATCCTTCATCTAACATGGGGAGCTTAACATTCATTTACAAGTGCACAATAGGCTTCATTTTTATGTTCACATTATTTTCTTACTCTAACTCATTTCCTTTTTCAATAAATCCCGAAAATTAAAATCTTTTATTTAGATAAGATTTTTAATAAAAGTGATATGTGCATTGACTATGATATTTGTGCACTCTCACTAAGATGCTGTTGCTCATTTTAATTAAATTTTGCATATATGTTTACCAATATTTTGTTATCTTTAAGTTGGCAGCTTGTATTGCTGAAAGAAGCCTGAATGATTTGAAGCAAGAAAATAAAAGGAAAATGTAAGTATATCAGTGATAACTCTTGAAAACTTTGGCTACTTTATTCTTTTTTATGAAGTAGTTAATTATTTTCTAAGGATAAATAGGAAAGGATACGGTGAATCTTGCATAATTCATTTTGAAGCATCTACTCATTTTGTGGCTGTTGTTTAAGTTCTTGGGTCACTGGAATATTATTTGAAAGAACACAGCTTTCCTACAAAATTTTAAAGTTTTCCATCTTTGATATTGATATGAACGAAGTTAGGTAGCTCGTTCATTGTCACTATTTTGAAAGCACATCAAAAATGTCCAAACCAAGTGGAAAAGGCAATTAAAATTTGTGCATTTTGAAAGTAAAATTTCTAAGATATTTCTATTATTGTCTAAGTGATATCAAGAAAATGAAAAATCACAAATAACAAAAAATATGTTGATAACTCCAATAAATAGAATGAAATAAAGCTTGGAAATTCTAGTCCTATATTGCACATTCAGTTTTTGAAATTACTGGACATTCTCAGTTTCTGATTGAATTTGTTCATTCATCTCTTGGGATATTATTTGATCCTAAAATATTGGGGGGGGGAATTGTTGAACTAATATTTATTCTTTTAAGGTAGTGTTATTTCTATTATGTGAATATTCAGTATATTTTTGCTTTAAATATAATGATACTGTGAGGCCAGGGCAGGGAAATAAGGAGGACATGCATGACTGCATTATTCCTTACATGCATCTCTGATTACACACACACACACACAGACACACAGACACACACACATCATTGATTCAACTTTCCTGGGCAGATTGCTCCTGCTGTTGTCGCGTTTTTGATGCCAAGTACAGCAGCCTCCTCAATCCTTGTCCCACAGGAAAGAAGAATATTCATTCAGACACAGTTTAGTTGTTTGTTTTTTTTTTTATTGATTGCATTGCATTATGTGGCACAGATTTATAGGCACTGGGATTCTCCCTGCACAATTCAGTTTTAAAGCAAGATTTATTAGAAAAGTTGAGAAAGGAGACTCCCGTCCTAGTGACGGGAGGGGGCTCTGAGATAGAAAGGACCCTTACCCCCCTGCCACAGTGGCAGGAGAAGTGGAGAAAAAAGAGACCCTAGTCCCCTGCCATAGTGGTAGGAGGAAAAATGGAAAAAGAGACCCATATCAGTGGTGGCAAAAGCATCTTTTAAAGGTTTACTTCAAAGGGGCTCTCCAAGGAAAAAAGGAAGTTCCTGGTCCCCCTGGTATCTGGCTTTGGGGCAAAGGCCAGACAGGTGTCACACATTGGCAGCTCTCATTGATCTTCAATCACAGCCCCACATCCTTTTTCCAAGTACACAGAAAGGCACGTGATGTGACAATGGTGGGAGTCTGATCCATGCAATCCACCCTTTTTCTGCACCTGACTGATTGGGCTCTGCCACTACATTCTGCTCATGGTAAAATCAAGCATATCAGCAGCATGGGCAGTGCTATACATGGATTCAACTCCTGAACTTGAGGTGAACTCCCCTTCCCACAAGGCTGTTGGTGAATCTCTGATTGCTGAACACTAACTGCCACCGGGGTACCTGGTCACTGCACCACTGCTCCACTGTCTTTCCTCTGCTTTCCCATGTCCACAAGTCTGCAGTGTGTTTCTACTATTGGTCTGGCCTCTCCTATTTCCTGGGATCCAAGCCTCTATGCCTCACCCTGGTTAATGATTCTCCATCTCCTTAATGTATCCCTTAATCCATTCCTCAATCTTGTTTCCCCACTACATACTTTTGAATGTATCATTGGAACAGAGTGCAAAAGCATATTGTAAGTTATTGAATTTAATCCTGGTGTTATGCAATCTCAAGGAGGAAATGGTGCTTTTTGTTGTTTTAAAAAGGTGATCCTGACTGTGTGTGTTCTTTCAGTGTGATTTCACACACACAATAAATATATATATAAATAAATAAATATTGGATTGTTGTGAATTGATACTAATACTAATGTGTCATTCTTGCCCATAAACTGCTTCCTAATGGGATTCAAGGGATGTTGCTGCTAGTAATTCTTTAGTGTGCAAATACAATCAATAGGTAAAATGTTAATTTTAAATTCTTGAAAACATATAGTACATTTTAGCTTCATTGATTTTCTGTTTGCTGGCTAGCTATTTCTCATTACCAATTTGGTGCTTTAGTAACACATTTCCAAATTTAATATTGGAGAAAGTGAAATGGAAGAACGTAATAGTCAGGTGTGCTGCTTTAAATATTTGCAGTAAGAAACAATCATGTATTGATCATATCATCAGGGTTTCTTTTGCATTGGTACTTTGGTAGGCCCTTTCAAAACCAAGGAGAGCGTACCCAGGCCTCATCTCTAGAGGGCAGGTGTCAAAGGATTAGTGATTGTCTGCACCTTATGCAGTCTTTGAAAACATTCTCCTCTCCCATGTCCATGGTCATTATAGTTTCATGTACTTCCAAATGTGGTGGCTTTATTTCCCTTAATGCTTGCACAACACCTGATATAGTGAAATGCTTCCTAAGTGGCATTTAATATAGTATGTGGAACATAAAACATTTGCTGAGCCCCTGAGTTCCATGGTTAATTCACTAAAGGTCATAAAGGTCCAGAGTCATCTGTTTGGGATTTCAAATATTACGTCAATCAAGATGGATAGTGTAGTATCAAAGAACCACTATCCGTGAGCCTTGCAACTGGATCAAATCACAGTCACATATTGCATACTGTTGTTTGGGTCAGACAGTATATGTGATGGTGGTCCCAAACATTTGTATTACCTGGTGACATGATTAGTATACTAGTTTAAGTATATTTTCAGAATTTGTCCTTGTTTTTCAGTGACACAAGGCTTGACTTCATTTCTCTGTTTCATTTACATTTTTACTCAACAGGAATTTTAGAACCCTCTGTATCCCTGTTCAGTCCTTAAGATGAGGCTTTAAGATGTTTTCTGGTACAGTCTAAGGGCTCCATAAGTACTTATCACTACACGTAGTATGCACACTAATAGAAATAGGCAGCACTGATTATACTACTAGCAATATTTACTTTGGATGTAATATAAATTTGTTTCTTTCTGGTCTGACCTGGAAGCCTTGTCAAGATTTTAAAAACTGATTTGAAAATGATTTATTCATTTACTTATTTGAAAATCAGCATTAGAGAGAGAGAGGAAGAGAGAGGGGGACCTTGCATCTGCTGGTTGATTCTTCAGATAGCTACAACAGCCAGGGCTGTGCCTGGCTGAGGAACTGCATGTGGGATTCCCACATCATTAACCACCAATCTAAAATGTCTGGAACACAGTTTATTGTGGCTGACTCCAGTGTAACAGATATAATGCTGCTTTATATAGGAGTCTGGATAAATATTATATGTACATGTAATTTCATTTTTTTACCTTTTAAATCTTATTCCTGTGCCAAATTTGTACACAAAACTCTGGAGAGTTTCATAATGGCAAGATTATTTTAAGAGGTGTTGCTTTGAAATTTGAGTGTGTAATGTTAATTCTATATCAGAAATGCTTCCATATTAGTTTTCATGTTGTGTTTGCAGTGATAATTATGGATATTTTTATGGGAGGCTCCAGTTTTGGTACAGTTAAAAACATAGAAGTCTATTCTTTATGACATGCCTTGAATATATTATAAATTTTCACTTTTGCTAAGGTACCTGAGGGTCGAGGAAAACTGCCAGCTAGATCAAAAGGCTGATGTATCACCTGTGGATGAAGATCGTAACTATAGAAGAAAAGAAATCTTGATCTATAGGTATTCAATGGCTTTTGTGTTGTGGCTATAACATGTCTAAAACTCATTTTGATTTTTAAAGGAATGCCTAAATGATCTCAATATTAACATTAGTGAAAGAAAAAATAAATCAGATCTCTCATTTAGTTCTTACAGTGTGCTTGTATGAATTCAATTTTATCAGGAAATCCTCTTGGTGTTTTAATTAGTATTTTAAAATAGTATATTCCCATAATTATGTATTAATAGTAGAATAATTACTTTTTCTTCATAGAAAGAGAGTTGAAGATCTTGAACAAGAATTAGATAGAACCATTCGTAATTCTCAAAGATTGGTATGTATGTGTGTGTGTGCGTTCATTCATTCATATGGTTTTTTATATCAGTGTGTTTATATGGATTGAAAAAGAAATGGAATACATTGATCAGTTGTATGCCTTTCTTTTCTGTTTAGAGATGTTTTCACATTTCCAGGGATTCAAATAATGTGAGATAAAAAAATCTTAGAGTTATATCTTCTTGGGAAATGAAACACATTGCACTCAACAAAAGAAAGATTTTAAAACATCAGTGGGGTCTCATAATAAAGCAGGGTAGTTGTCTGTGAAAAAGATATCTGTTATTGTGGACAATTATTCCACAAGAGCATACATAAAGTAGAAGTTTACCATTTAAAATCATTAATTACCTTTAAATGTATAGCAGAATAAATAATATATCCATCGAGTTTTACATTAGAGGTGTTCATGACTTCGCAGTTGCTTGAAGTATTTTAGTTATTTCCAATGTTTATGATAAATCTTCTTATATTATAAAAAACATTTAATTTGTTTTGTTTTTTAGATACTTTCTTATGAGAAAGAAGCACATATCAATTGGGTAAGTTTCAGACTGCCATAAATATTTTGTCTGTGTTTAATTAAATTTTGCTTTTCTGTCAAGAACCTGGGCATGGAAATTGGTGAAAAAAGAGCTATGTTAAAAAAAAAAAGGTAGTAAAATTATGTTGCTCTGATAAATAATACATTGTTACATTATGGTTATTCATTCAGTCTATTTTCAGCACAATGCTACTTCAGAAAGAACTTGTATTCTCCTAGGGGGTTAGAGGAACTTGGTTACATATGCTCATGTTTATGCATTTACATTTTGGGACATTGGATTGCCCCTTGTTATCTAGAAGGGCCAGAAAGGTCTCTGGACCATTTTATTAATTTGTAAAACAATGGGATTGGAAAAGGAGCTAACTAAAGCCCTTTCTAGTTCTAAAATTGAGGGTTCTATTAAGTGATTCTCAGTGTTGGTACAAATTAAGGAAAGGGTCATCTGGGGAACTAGTTGTCTGTGCTGCAGAGGAACTGCATGATGAGGAAGTGAAGTGGCTGTAAACTTGGAGCAGTTAGAAGGAAGAGCAGAGATGGAGCTGTTGACAGTAGCTGTCCACTGGGAGTGCCTGTCACAGGGTGGTGGAGGCATCATGCCCTTTAGTTAAATGTGTTGCATCTGAAATCAGCCTGTCTTGGTTGTATGCTCTCTTTATGACAATCCCCTGTTTTTCTTACCTATGAAGTAGAGATACTAATAGTACTCATTTCTTGGTTTATTGTGACGATTAAGTAATATATGGATGTTTGTCAAGTGCTCGGCATGATTAGGCATACGTAGAGTCTGGTGTTACCATTGTTGTTACTGTGAAGATCTGTAGATGTTAGGCATCTCTGAGTGGAGCATAGCATGAGAGTGGTATCTATTTGTTTACGTTGTCCTGACCCAGTTACACCAGTTGTTAGATTTTGGAGATAAAGCAGAGGTCTTGAGCTCATTTCTTAATGTCCTCACATAAATAGCTATAATAACCAATGTTCAGATGATGCAGAAAGGTGCCATAAAGTCATCCTCAATATCACTTTCATTGGATAGACTTTTTTAGCACTCTTAGACATATATACACACATATACCAACACATGTGCATACACACATATATACATGCACACACACTTTTTGAAAACTTTGTAATGTTTATATACCAAATTGACAGGTGGAGGGAGGGAGAGAGACAATTAACCTTCCATCTGATGGTACCCTTTTCTAAGGATTTATTTATTTTTATTTATTGAATGAGCTCATCTTAATCAATTGTGGACAGTTGGGGATTGAATGAGTGGGCAGAAGTGGATCATTTTAAAATGTTTTCAAAAATTTAGCCTTCTACATAGTTAACATATTTCATATTTTTCAAATATATGATTTTAAGAACATAATAAAGTTGCCCTTTACCTTCTTTCCTACATTGTTCACCCTTTCTTATTTTTCTTTCAACTTTTTCTTCATTTTCTTTGAAAGGGCAAAATTTTCCTATCCTTAAATAAATAATGGAATATATATTAAGTAGAAAAATTACTGTTCATGAGGAGTTTAGACAGAGACAATAAATATTTGTTCACAAATGTATTATTACTTCTGTTATTATGTCTGTTTGTGGGATATTGCCTCTGGATCTCTGCCTGCTAAGCGCATGCTGGAGGCCATAGGCACGTGGCACACCATGTTCTTGGCTGAGACCCCAAGCTCTCCTGTTCACTGGACGTGCAGCAAGAATGATGAGCTGCATCCCAGTCTCTCTTCTCTGCCCCTTTAATGAACTGTGCTAGGACTTCCTTTATAAACAACTCTAGGAAGTCAAATGTTACATTCATCCTGCTTTTCAGCAGGTAAGGAGTTTGCCCTGAGACACAGCCAGCTTTTTGTGCTTCCTGACCTTCAACTTTATTGGAGGGTTCAAAGAGACAGACATATCTAGCAGCGTGTCACAGTATCGTGGTTGGGTGGAAGTACTGTCAGGACCACCTTTCTGCCTGCCCCTTTTCCTACCCTTTGTTAAGCGTGTGACTTCTTTCAAATAAACCGACATCCCCTAATATCAGTTTGTCTCCATTGTTTCTGCTGCCGAGGATCACTGTGACTTCACCCTTCAGTGATCTCAGGGCCTACTGAACAGAAGACCCCCGAGATTAGTTACCCCATGAAGTGATGACATGGCTTTTGGAAACTGATTGTTAAACCTGAATGTTCTCCATTTGCATGCATTTTGTTGTGAAAGATGTTTAAGACTTTTTTGCCTGAGTAGTATTCATGTGTGTGTGTGTGTGTGTGTGTGTGTGTGTGTGTGAGAGAGAGAGAGAGAGAGAGAGAGAAAGAAAATGTTTTAAAGTTATTTGAGGGCCCAGGGATATAACCATTGAGTCAATCCGCATCTTGCATGAACCACGATTCCATAACGGTGATGGCTAATGACCTGCTTCTTATACTCCTTATCTAGCTCCCTGCTTGTGGCCAGGGATAACAAGGGAATAAGTCCAAAACCCTTAGAATTATACACCCATGTGGGAGAGCTGAAGGAGACTCCTGACTCCTGACTTTGGATGAGCTCAGCTTAGGCAAGTGTGGACAGTTGGGGAAGAACTTTCTCTCTTCTGTCCACTCATTCACTCCTTCCAATAAAGATAAATGAATCTTGGGCCTGGCGCTGTGGCCTAGTGGCTAAAGTCCTCGCCTTGAACGTGCCAGGATGCCATATGTGCGCCGGTCCTAATCCCTCCAGCTCTACTTTCCATCTAGCTCACTGCTTGTGGCCTGGGAAGGAAGTCTAGAATGGGCCAAAGCCTTGCCTTCCTGCACGCACATGGGAGACCTGGAGGAAGTTCCTGGCTCCTGGCTTCAGACTGGCACAGCACCGGCCATTGTGGTCTCTCAGGAAGTGAATCATTGGATGGAAGATCTTCCTCTCTGTCTCTCTTCCTCTCTGTATATCTGACTTTTCAATAAAAATAAATAAATCTTTTTTTAAAAGATAAATGAATCTTAAAAATGTTGTTTGAGTAAGAATTGCCAGGGAGAGAAGAAAAAGGAGAAAGAGACAAACAGCCCTGCGCATAACTGCTTTTGCATTAGAACCTACAGTGATTGTGGCTGGGCTGTGGCTGAAGCTGAAAGTTGGAATTCAGTCCACATCTCTCATGTAGATGGCTGGGGATCCAAATGATTAATCCATTACCACTGCTTCAGAGTGCATGATCAGGAATCCAGAACAAGGAGATGGAGCCATGAATTGAACCCAAGTTCTCTAAAGTGGGACATGGCTGTCTTTACTGACAGCTTGCCTTCAACGCCCAACAACAGCCCTTACTGTGATCATCCTTTGTGTCTTTACCCTGAGAGAGTTTCAAGTTCCATTAGTGAGTGAATGTCACTGTTTCCTTAGCAGACCTCTTAGAAGGCTTTGTAGATGTGAGTGCTCAGTGTTTGAACACAGTGTTTTGGAGTATAACATAGTCATTGGCTGAAATTTGTCTTAACCTTTGAGAATAAGCTGTAGACTCAGAAGTAGGTGGGCAGTTCATGTGGCAGTAAAGATGCTGCTTAGGATACCTGGTCCTCAGTTGGGCTGCCTGATTTAAGTCCAGGCTCCTCTGCTTCTTATCCAGCTTCCTGGAGCAACTGATGGTTGAAGAACTTGGTCCCTGACACCCATGTGGGAGACCCAGATTGAATCCTGGGTTCTTCTTTAGTCTGGCCTGTCTCTGGCTGTGTGGCTGATGAGGAGTGAATAAATTTATGGAAAAAAATCTCTGACTCCTTGTCTTTCATAATAAAATAAATAATCTCAAGAATTTGCCATTAGTTTGTATAGAATTATTTTTCATATATATCCTTAATATTACTAGCTTATTACCTGTTATTCAATTTTGTCTTCTATTTAACAAGCAAATGTGTTAAAATACAGTAAAGCATTTTGAAACAATGTGTTTCCACATTGTTAATAGTTTAATAAATTATGTATTTTCTTAATATGTTTTGGTATAGTTTTTTAGTAAAAATTGATGACATCATTACATACTGGAAAAGTTTTTACACATGCATTATTTTTTGAAAGCAAGGCCTACAAATAAGTAAGGTATCATTTTTGTAAATATTTATGTGACCTATTCTTTGGCCATTGCTCTTTTTAGCATGTACTTAAATTTTGATAAATATCAGTTTAGTATTATATTTTGATATTATATTTCTTTTAATTTGTGAAAAGCTGCATACTATGTTATTCTTTTTCTAATGTTGTTCTTTTAACTTGTAGAAAATTATAGTCCAAGTTATATTACCTACGTTTATATGAAAAGCTAGTAAAATTTTTTTTGGACATTGCTACCTTCCACAAAAATGCATGTAATCTGAGTTTCCTAAGAATAACATACTTTGAGTTTTAGCCTTTTATCAATACAAATGTAATGTGATGTACAGAATTCTGTTAGCATCATTGAAGTCCAACAGACATTGATCATATCAGCTATATAAAAAGGTGTGTTCTTTACCAGCAAGCTGTGAAAGTGTTTTAGACCTTTATGATTTCACTGAATTGCAGTTTGTTTTCTCTAGAAATGATTGCCTTGAGGTAACTGACCAAACTTTCCAAGCTCTAGGACTCTATGTCTTTTTTCTTTGCTTGGAGCTTGCATCCTTTTATATAGCCCTTAGCTTATTACTTGGCCAAACTATTCTTGATCTTACATAGAGAGCACCATTTCTTGGCAGGTATTTGCTTACCTGAAACTCATTTATTTTTTCAATGATTTCTTAAATTCAATGTGTTTTACTTAGAATTATATGTGCATTGGCTGAGATATTTCTGCTGTCACTGTGATATTTCTGCTTATTTTCATTTAAATTTGCATAGATGTTTTAATAATATTTTGTTGTTTTTAAGTGGGATGCTTATACTGCTGACAGAAACCTGAATGACTTAAAGAAAGAAATGACTTCTGATATGCCAATGTGAGTATTTTAGTATTAACATTTTAAAAGTTTATTGTATTGTTATTTTACTAATTAGATAATTCTGTCATAAGGACATGTAGCAAGTTTTCCAGTGAACCTGGCATATTTCATTGTGAAGTATCTACTAGTGTTTTTCCAGCTGAAATGCTTAGTTCCGTGACATATTACTTGGAAGAAACTTTGTGATATATCTGTATCAAATTTTGTTTTTCACATTTTCATATTGATGTGGTCCTGAATCAGCAGCTTGTGTCGGGTTACTGATGTGGAAACCACATTTTTCCCCACTGACGTGATTAGATCTGTTCACTTGTCAGTCAGGTGACTCCCTTGTAGAGATGCCTCTCTGCACATGGAAGCTGAAGTTGCACATACCACTCTCCTCCAAGCCCCCACTGGAGCCCATGTGGCAGAGAAACTCACACTGTCTTGCTGGAGATGCAGCACAGACATGTATAGAAAAAAATTAGGTTTTCAAGCAAGAGTTGCTGGAGTCAGAAGGATGAAATATAAAGGATGAAGCTCTGACACAGTTATGCTCCAAATATCAACATCTTTTGATAAATATGTGAAGAGCAGTCATATTATCTCAAGTCCTCATTTTCTGCATAAATTGACATTGTTTTGCAATATTAAGCTGGATGAGAGAATAAACATGCAATGTACAATAGAAGGGGGGAAATAAGTGTACCGTGAGAATGGTCTTTGTCTTCCCAGAATTGATTTCTTACCATAGTGTGCTGAGTATTCAGCATTCTTGCTTGTTTTTCTACTCTCAGCTCTGATGATCAAGAACTAAGAAGATTGTTTTAAAAGTTACATTTGTAATATAAAATGTTTAAGTAATAAAGTAGTAGGAAGATTTTGCAGAATTGCTGATTTAAAAGATAAATTACCATTGTGATCAAATTACAATGAAAAGCTTACATTTCCCAGACCCATAAAGTTTGTGTTTTAATCCTGGCACTTGTCATTTTTTATACTTCATTTAAACCTTGCTCAGTTGCAAAATGATGGAGTGGGATCGGTTGACTTTGATAAGCTCTTCATTTCAGTCATTTGGCTCTGTGTCACAGTATTCATGGTAGTCTCATTTTGAAGTGGAGAAAAAGCAATTCCAAGCTTCAGTAGAACACACTATTCTTAAGCAACAAATATTGGTATTCCCAGGATAAATACTGGGAGATATGAAAGAGTGTTTTGATCAGAATCATCCTAGAAGATCTGCTTCTACAACGATATTGAGTTAGTTAGAGTAGCTACTTTATGGCAGTGGTAATTTTCTTGAAGTGTGGGTGGTTTCTCTTGGAAAAGTAACTGAGAGCTGCTTTTTCTATTTGTAGTTTATCTGACGGTGAGTTGGAAACGTTACAAAAAGATTCTTACGTGCTTGAAATTCCAGGTAAACCCTTTGACAGAGGTACACTATTTTTCTCAACCCCTGTTACAAAATACATGTTAGATCTTTATATATTCTGATTGTCAATTTATGTTACTAGAAATAAAAGTGGTTATTTAGAAATATTTTAGATTCTGGAACTATGAAAGATCTGTTCTAAGCTCTTCTTAGAACTACAAGGTTTGAGGTTTTATTTCAATCACACTAACGGAAAGTATTTCTGCCTTCCTTTCTCAGTGGGGCTTTGGAAGATGATAAATGTTCAGTGCTTTGACCTTTAAAAGCCAAATGCTTGACATGTTAGGTATTACTAGTTTTTGGATATGAATTAAGGAGTGCTTAAATGGAAAAGCATCCGATTGTTTATATATGAGATGCATATTAAATTTTCATGCATATTGAATTAGATGCTTGAATTTTCATAAAGTATTTATCCTAATAATGAGAATTAAAATAGTTGGCTTTTAACTATTTAAAAGGTAGAAAAGCTTAATCTGAGTATGGCTGCAATAATTAAAGCAAGAGAGGACTATTATAAGATATATTTTATGTTACTATTGTAAGATGTATTTTATGTCTCTATCCATTCATTGTTGAGTTAGCATATTTAATTATCTCAGACTATTTTAGTAAGTAATTAAAATATGGGACTTAACTCAATTTCTGCAGCATTGAAAATAAATTTATAATTATATAGAATCACATTTTAATAACCTTAACAAGTTACAAAATTCACTTTGGGGAGACAAGCTTCATTAAAATTGGTCTTTTTCTATATTTTAAAAATATCAGATTATTACAAATTTGAAGTAGCAACAAGATTGGAAAGGGGAAAAACTGCATTGAATAAATTTTTATCTGAATCTAATGAAAAAGTCCTGGGGGGGGATAAATAATGTTTCAATCTGTTGTAAATGACTTATATCAGTCACACTTCATGAAATATTGCATGTTTAAGAATTGTTATTTTTGTGGTGTTTAAGTTTGATTTTTATCATTGAATTTTAGCTTTGAAAGGATAACCATTATTTCAGAGTAGTTTGCAAAATGGTAGACCTTTTGGTTGTTTACAGAAATATTGCTTAATTAGTATGTATAAATTGACTATTCACTGATGAATCAAAAGTAGTTTCTGTTGCCTTAGAGTATATTTTGTGTTTTCTATTTTACATATCAGAAGCACTTCATAAATGGCCCGGCTGTGCTTCCATGTTGCAACCTACATATGCCAAAACATACAAAAGCATGCTGCCATTAAAAACTAAACAAAATCAAATTGCTTGTCCCCTAAAACTTCCTACCACTCTGAACTATATCCAGCATATTTTTGCTTAACCTCTAGTTAACTTCAGTATAATAATTATTTTATTGAACAAAGTTTGATTCAATTCTGTCTGGTAGTAACACAAAGTTAGTTAATGGTCAGAACATACATTAACCTTTAACATGGCAATAGCATAACTCAATGGTAATTGTGGAAATGGGATTCCAACTTTGTAGTATAGCTAAATGAAGCTATGAAAGAACTAGTGCTTATGTGGAATCCCAGCACATCAAAGGGGAGGGTGGGCCAATTGAGCCATCATGCTGGAATACTTTGTATTTTCATCTCATTCTTAAAATGATCTTTAAAATACACATCTGGAAAACACAGATTCCTTACACTTACTCTTTGTTAGTTACCTTTGGAAAAAGAGCTGTATGACATCAAATATATACACATATTTATTTTTCTCATATATATATATTGTTTTCTTGGAGGTTATGCTATAGTACATTTTTTAATCTTTTGATCCATAATTTTGCCATTAGAAAGCAATTTGTTATACTATGTAATAAATTTTAAGGAGAAAACATAATAGAACATCAAAACAATCTAATAAAATCATCATTTGATGTATCATTATTAGAATATAAAATTTCAGAAAACCAATTTCCACATTGTAATCATGATATTTTTATTATAGCAAATCACAAAATTAACCTTTTTAGAGTTAAGTAATTATGAATTCCTTTTATAGACAGGATTTAGAGACAAATCATTTGATATTTTGGAAACCAAAATTGTCTGCTCTGCATTTTCATAGCTACCTGGAGTGTAAGCAGTAGATGCTATTTTTTCTCTTTCCTACCTTCTTTATAAAGGCTCTAGTGCCTTTAAAACAATCTGTACCTTGAGCTTTCTTCTGGAAAAAATGAATGACTTACAAAAACGATGTGGTTCATTTAATACAGCACATCCATGAGGAATAGTTGATCTCCTCACATGCAAGTCAATTGACGTAACTTTACAACAGGAACCATATATTGCTTTGAACAGATTAATACAGATTATATAAAGAACACTTATATTGTTTTGTAGAAGTTAATAAAAAATGATCAAATTAATTTTGATTTCTTAAAAGAGGTGTTAAAATAGATGAACATTTTAATGTCAGGCTTCTGTTGTAAAAACAAACAAAAAACACATATTCAGGATAATACAATTTGATAAATGAGATACATTTTGTCTAATTGAAATTATATTAATCTTTATATCTTATTCAAACATGGATTTATTGTGTTGCTTTTATTTTTGAATATGTGATTGACATTAAAACACAATATTTTCTGTGGTCATAAAAAATGTCAAAATAATTCCCATAATTATAAATATTTTTTCCCACATAAATTTTTAAAAAATATATACGTGTACATATAAATAGAGAAGTAAACACTTATTACTATTATTTTTTCCTTTATTAAGGCTCAAGAAACTGAGATCATACCTTGGACCCTTTGATTTCAATTGAGACAGGAAAACCAAACTATGACAAATCCCCCAATTTTGACAGAAATTTTTCTGATATTGACTGCCTGTTAAATTGTTGGCATCTGGGTTTGTTCCTTTGTGAAACATATGCCCATTTCTTGAGTAATTTGTTTGTTTTGGTGTTTTGGTTGTTCTGAAGTTCTTTGGATATTCTGGAGATTAGCCCCCTATCACTTATGTAGTGTGCAAAGATCTCCCATTCTGTGGGTTGCTGTCTATTGGCGTGTCTATTGGCGTGAGAAGCATAAGGTTATGGTGTTGTTGTCGGGTTGTACGATTTAACGGACAAGCATTATGAGAGTGAGCGTGAGGGTCAGAGGTGATCTTGGACGCTTGGATCTGTGTGCACATGGCTGCGATGGCATGGCTTAAGAGGTGATGGCATCTCAGTGGGCACGTTGACACACTGTATCGTTGGACACGCCATGGAATCTTTGTTTAGGAAGCCGGGGTTTTGGTAAGGTTTATTTTTCTGTACCTGAAAGGCAGGGCTACAGGCAGGAGGCACCAGGGTTGTAATGGTTGTTTTTTGTTTGGTTATTTTTGTTTTGTTTTTTGTTTTTTAAGATTCATTTTTATGAGAGAGGTATAATTACAGACCAAATTAATTGACTAAAATAATTCTTGCATCCCATTTTAATCCATGAAAAAAATTTTTATTTCTTCAACTTTCTGATTTTAAATGCTATCAAATTATTTTGTTTGTCTCCTGTTGAATTTTGTTTTTCTCCTGTAACTTTTCTTAGTCTTTGTGTAGCTCTATTATGAATTACTTCTAGGAATTATTCCATCGAGTTATTACCCTTTAGCTGTTTGTTTCATCTCCTCAGTATATGGATATTTACCTACTTTTTTTTTTTTTAACTAATTTGATTATAAACCTGAGGTTCAGTATCTATGCAGTAGTAACAAGTGTTTTGCAGGTACTGGGAAAATGAATAATGAATTTCTTAAATTATTTTAGTGTTCTCCATTTTGCTGTTTAACACCAATTTTCCTGAAAATATTTTTAGCATGTATTAGGAAATAATTTTCAAATAATCATTTCTTTGTATAAATATGTGCTTTTTGGCCATGCCGTATGCACTAGATGATAGAATTTACTGTATTATGTGCTTAATAACAATTCTTTTTCATTGTTTTAATGTGAATAAAAATTTTATCTTCCCAAATACATTATGTTATTTTTTGCTTGAAGGTGTTATATTTTTCTTAGTATTGTTGAGGTTTTACATTAAGGTATGATTCTATTTAGATTTTGTTAGAAATTATTTTTTTATTCTGTGGTTTACACAATCTCTAATTAAAACAACAACAACAACAGTAAGCTTTTTTTCCTATTTCTTTCTGCAGTGAGAAATGTGTGCACAAAGGATTATCCTCGTTAGTCTCTTGGTTTCGCTGGATTTTTTTCCACCCACACAATTTGAAATCCAGTGTGTGTTCATCTGTACACCATCTTTAACCAGCTCCGGAACATCTGCAACCCAAGAAGGAAATCTCAAACTAATTTTAATCACTCAGCCCATATAATGTTGTCATCTCTCAACTATTCTCTTTTCGTAATGTCTCTTACTTAAGTGTCTTTTTTTGCTCACTGTGAACCTTCTTGCAACTTTTAAATAAAGATGATTTAAACATAAATCTTATGAGATATTTTTGCATTTGATTTTATTCTAGATTGTGAAGGTATTGGGTTTTTATTAATCTGCTATTATATGCATTCATACAATAAGAGTTTTTTCACATATTCTTACAATTGGGCATATTTTCAACTTTAACATTATGTTTTTATTGCAGAAAGTGTACTTATTAAGTTGACAGAGTAATGTGAATGCAACTTTATGCTTTATTAAGTAATTTTAATTGATATAAAAGCTTGTTTGGCTTTGCTAGTAGCAGTTTAGTGAGCTAGTTTTTCCCATACATGTTTCCACTAGTTATACTTTTGTTTCTTGAACTCAAACTTTTAAATCTAAAATGGAAGCACTTTCTGATTTCAGGTTGTTTTTTGGGTTTTTTTTTTTATAATTAGGTACTCTACTTCTTGAAAATATTTGAATGATGTAAAGACATAAATTATTTTTCAACTAAAAAATGAGGAGTGAAGCTTTGCCCTATTGGTTAAGATACTGATTGACCTTTGTGGCAAACCATGATGAAGCTCTGGATGAACCATCTGGAAACTGAACCAGCAAATTTCTTTCTTTCCCTTTCTCTCTTTAGACTTTTATAAAGCTTACATCACTTAAAAATATTTTCATTTGTATGTCAGAGCTACAAAGTGAGGAGAGAGAAATCCTCTATCCACTGGTCCCAGGGGCCCAAATGAGTGCAGCAATGCAAACACTTGGTACATCTTCCCCTGTTTTCCCACACACATTAACAGGGAGATGAATTAGTAGTGGAGCACATTGGATTTGATCTGTCCACCATATAGCATGCCTTGTCTATCAAAGGAAAGGTTTAACTTAGTATAAAATCCTGCAGGAGAGCTTAAAAGTACCTCTTTCTTGGTGGTCCCTCTAATGGGGACTGGAACTTAAAGTGTGACATCCACACCGAGAAGAACTTTGGGATACAGGGTACACAGGCGAGATGAATGAATGCACAATTTATTGAATTTTTCTGGTCTTATACCAATTTTTGCAGAACAAGCAGGTTGGTAAAAGTTACAAGTTAATGGAACAATGGTAATCAAACTACTCCACCAATAGGTTACAAGGGCTCAGGGGAAACAATCACCAGGCTCCAAGCAGCTGGATAAGTAAACATCAGTTACAGGAATCCACACTGGTAAACAAACAGATCTAACTAGAAATACAATCCAACAGAACTGTTTGTACTCAGATATGTTTAGGCCACAATCACTGAAGGGACAGGGAGTTAATGAAGATGCCTCACACCTCCCCAGATGTGTTAGCCAGCCCAAGGTTTATCTGCAATCTCAGCAGGGAGTCTGCTCCCTGCAGCATTCTCAGTCTGCCTAAAAGAGTTAAGATTCAGAGTCCTCAGGCATTGTGATCTGGGTTTTCAGGGGCAGATCTCCACAATGAATATATCTCCACACTGCTTACTCCTTTTTCTCTGTTATGTTTCCCAGAACAAGGTCTCTAACAGTTTCTTACAGGCCTTTACAAGAATTCCATATGCACACATACACATACAGCTACTTTAAAACACCATGAGAATGGAATTAAAAGATTAGTT